CTGATCAGCTGAGGACTATGGAATCCTCTGCAGGATGTATTTTGCCCACTTACCATAACATGGAAGAGTCTTTACAGGAAGATCCTGAGGACAACAGCAAAAAAAAACCCCACCCTTTTTCCCTTAAAAGAAAAAGCCTTCCTTCGTTTTCAGTGCAGCCTCTCGTATCCTAAGCGCACTGGTGATTTAATCTTTTTAAGGTCGCACAATACAACTTGGAGGGCTGCAGCTGCCCGGGAACAGAGTGGGTTATTTGAAACGCGTAGGTTGGCGAGTGAAGAAGGTGAAGGTTTTCCTAGCTGTCCACATGTTACTTTTAGGAGGATGTAAAGGGAGCAGTCATCTTATCCCAAACACCTACAATGGCAGTTCTGCTGCAGTATTACTAAATTACAAAAAGACTTCAGAGATTCTTGAAAAGCATGTACCTAAGCACTAGTGAGAAATTAATGTGGGAAGAAATGACTGCACAAGACAAAAAATGCATCTGAGTAAAGGCTCTGACATACATAGTGTTCAGCTGGGAAAAAAGGAAACAGAAAAATGTTAGTTTTTCCCTCAGGTTGATTTTTGCATTCTCACAGGTGATTTGTAGTGGCATTACTAAGCAGTCTGTATTTCCTTTTTATTTACTTAGAGTCGAATGAAGTATGAGAAAGTACACAGCATATATAACCGACTCCTGGCTATTGAAGACATTGATCCCACTCTGGTAAGATGATCCCTAGTATTGAGTTTTTCTACATTTGCACGGATAGTCACCTGAGTGCGTTCAAAGAATGGGGAAGTACTTACAGGAGTTCATTGGGTCACTAGGATGATTGAGCAGGGGCAGTACTGAGATGACAGAACTAGATTAAAATTTCAGCAAGGCTGGTAATTATAGCCTTTAATCCCCTTAGCTACACTAAGTCATGTGCACCTTTTTTCCTCTGTCTCATTTGGAGAATCTCTTAAAACAAGCAATGAAGATGTAAGATACTAAAGATTTCATGACGCAGCTCTTAAGAATTGGTGTATGTTTTATTGGCTCAACTGAAATTTCATTTTACCTCCCCTTAACTGATTAAAAGCACGTTGCCTTTGCCCCTTGTTCTCCCTACGTAGAATTACACCGTACTGTGTACATGTAGTTTGCAAATAAATTTGTAATGCACCATGCAAGTATCAAAGAGCATTGCTGTGCATCTGCTTAAGTTATATAGTAAACAACATTGTCTGTAGTGCCAGCTGTGCTGGTCCCGGAGAAATGGTGTGAGAAAGTAACCTGCCCTCAGAAAGTTCCTTAGTTTATCAATAGCCACAACTGAGCATGAGAAGGAAAAAGAAGGTCTGAGGTCTAAAATGAAACAACGGGTCAGGGTCAGAAGGAAGGTACTGACATGTTCTCTTCGTTAAACACAGATCATAATGCTTCCCAAATACACGTTTTCTGAGAAACCACATACCAGCTCCTCCTATTTGAGGAATGCTGGTTTTTGTGATCTAATTCAGAGTGGAGGAAAGTTAAATCCCAAAGAAATGCAAATCACAAATTGGCCAGGGAATTAAATAGCACATTTGTTATTTCCTTGATCGGGTATAAGTATTTGCAGACAGGATGATTTGTATCTTGGACTGTATAATGTACAGTAAAATGCCTCATCAGGCCTTTTGGCTGTTCTTTAGCCTTATGGATGTCTTAACTTCATTGGAGAGTTACCATTTTTACAAGAAGCCTCTTGTTCTCTGAAGGCACCAGCTTATGTAAATTATATTCACCTACTTACCTCCCCTTCCTTGAAAAATCTGTGTCTTAACTATTGTCATTTTGGGGGATCAGTCATAGTTATATTCCATTTTTTGAAAAGAAGTATATAAAAAGCTTTCCCCTAGTATTCATAGCAAAACAACATAGAGGCACAACACAGTCTTGTTTCTATTATGACTTATTAGCTGTATTTTGTGAGTAAAGGTTATTTCAGGTATAGTAAAAAACTTCATTATATCCTAGTATTCTTTGTTAGCACTGACACTATATAAATATTAATATGTACCTTAGGTTTATATCCAATACATGAAATTTGCAAGGCGAGCAGAAGGCATAAAATCTGGAAGAATGATATTTAAGAAGGCAAGAGAGGATGCCCGGACCCGCCATCACGTCTATGTTACAGCAGCTTTAATGGAGTATTATTGTAGTAAGGTAATCACGTATGCTTAGCTTGATATTAAAGTGTCAGGAGGGTGCATAGCTCACTGAAATGAGCAACGTTTTTGTTTTTTTTTTAATGCTTGCAGGATAAGTCTGTGGCCTTTAAGATTTTTGAGCTCGGGCTGAAAAAATACGGGGACATTCCAGAATATGTACTGGCATATATCGACTACCTTTCTCACCTTAACGGTAAGCTTTAAAATTTGAGAAGTCTAATGAAGCATTAATGTGCCTTCTCTGTGAGAAGCCAAGTTCTTTGTGTTTTAGTTTTAATTCTTCTTGAAAAGCAATGAAACCTCTTCATAAAACTCAGCAATTTATTTGGAAAAACCCCTGCTGTTTTGTCCTTACCGAAGTTCCAGGAGCGCACTGATGTTAGATCTTGATTCCACTGAATAGAGGGGAGTGAACTTTCCAAATTGCAACTCACTTGCATTGCAGCGGTTTTACTGCATCTGCTGTGAGCAGTGGGGAGCACACTGAGGAATCTAAACCCCCAGGAAAAAGATCTACAGGAGGTTGAAATCAGCCCGAGAGGAGCGGTGGGTTAGAGCAGGGCTGGGGCGAGGCGCGCAGCTCCCTGCCTGTGCCCGCGCTGGGGGCACAGGGGGCTGGGGAGCCCCGGGCAGGAGGTGGTGCTGCTGGCGGGAGGTCTCTGGGGGGGATTCCCTGGGGCAGGAGTTGATAGCGATGTCAGAAGAAGCCCAAGCTGCTGTGGGGACCAGGGGCTGACAGGGAGCTTTGCGTGGAACTGTCCTGGTCCACGCTTCACAGGGAATTAGGGCAGAGGGAGAAGATCGGTTCATCGCAGGCTCTTCCTCTCCCAGTCCTGTCTGACAGGTACCCATTAAGATTTTCAGATTTCTTCAGATATTTCTTCAAGTATTCAATACTCTAGCTCAGTATTTGTAGTGTAACAACACAGAGGTGTAACAGAATCTGGGTTTTATTACGAATTTCTAGCTCAATTTCGTGAGCCAGCCTCCATGCCGCTGGTGCGAGCAGCGGCTGCGGGTAGCTGTGCTGCTGGATCTTCTGAACCTCCCAGTGCGTTCTGTAGGCACCAGGCACGTGAATCTCTCCTGTCAGACTACAGTGCCTTCTTTTTTTCCTTCCCCAGACTCTGAAAGTTTGAACGGATTTAGAGCTGTTTTTCCTCCTGTGAGCTGTAAACAGAGATTTTTTTCAAGTCAAAGTATATTTAATTTTGTGAGAAATTATTTTAGGCCTACATGAACATTTGCAAAGCCTTTCCATAGATTGCCATCAGAAAAAAATTATCTTAAAACTTGCCAGTGTATTGCTGTGTCTTAGCAACCCAGCAGACTTTACTGAAAAAAAAAGAAAATTGATCACTGAGGTCCTGTAAATGAAAGATATGGTCAAATACCCAGCGAGAAAGACCAGCAGTTTTAAGAACAAAGCCACCAACTGCTCCATTCCCCCAGCTGGCAACGTACGAAGGCTGGCTGCTCCTTGGGAACCAGCTCTAATAATTCTGGGAGGACTTCTGAGGAATATACAACTATATTAATGCTGCCCTAATTTAAAAGGGAAGTAATGAATTGAAAGGCCAAATGTAAAATTACCGAGATATGCCATTGTGATAATTAAAGAAAATGGAAAAATCAAGAGATCCTGAAGAGATGCCAACCAATAGCTGTGTTATAAAAGAACCTGTATTAGGATCGATTTGTTGCTATCAACAAAACTAGACTTTCAACTAACAAATTCACAGCAGAATTTAACAATGGTAAAGTTTTATGTAGGTGTTCAGATTTTTTTTTTCTACTTACTGAAATTCAAATCAGAATGTCAGCCTTATTATTTAATTCAATGTACACATTTCTTTGAATGGACATGATTTTAAATTGTCTTTAATATATTTTACTCAGTGTGATTTTTCTTTTTTCTTTCTGTTTTTATTTAAAGAGGACAATAATACAAGAGTTTTGTTTGAACGTGTTTTAACTTCAGGGAGCCTTCCACCTGAGAAATCTGGGTACGTCTGCAAAAGCAGTTTTGCTACACTAAAAAAGATACATAACCCCTTTCAACTCACAAACATCCCAAAGAAATTAGAAAAATGAACAGCAGGACAAAATTAGGTGCAGATGTTCCTTCCTTCCTCTTCACTGCTGTCTAAAATAGCAGCAACTGTGACAGATTCATGGAAGTCCCTATCCCACTTGCAGTGAAATTCATTAATTTATTGACTTTAAAAGCTCACTGACGCAGGATTGTTGAGGATAGAGTGCAAAACCCTCCCGCGCGGGAAGGATTCAGTGGTCTGAGCAGGTGGCATGGCTGATGACATGTGTCGCTCACCAAACAGATGCTTCAGATAGATGGGGAGAGGGAGCTGAGAACATCTTTCAGGGGCATTATGATAGAGAACGGGAGTCAGGAATTTATTGAGAATGCCGAAAAACTCCCAGCCAAGCTGAAAAATTGAAAATTCCCAACCAGAAAAGACTAGGATTAACTCACTGCCACATTTTCATTACTACTTTTTACATTTATTTATCTGAAAAAATGCTTCCCGAACTCTTTGCAGTCCAAGTGTTCACCATTACTAATCTGGTAGACATAGACATCAAAACTAAGAAATCAAACACCACACTGCTGTGCGCATTCATTCTGCGCTTTAATTCTGATCTTCTGTGAGAAATATTTTTATGTCCATTCTAAAAGTGAGAAAAACCAAGAATTTGAAAGCTGAATCATCTTCTTTAAAGGTGAACTCCAAAGCTAAAATGAAAGTTGAAGTCAAATGTTGCTGAAGTTATATATGAGATTTTCCACAGAGAAGTAGGAAGTAACTATATGTACTTTGGGATATGTAAAATTCTGATGTGCTGCCTATTGTGTTATAGGGTATTGCTCTTGCCTGCTAGAATATGCTAGTCTATGCAGATGAACTAAATCATAATCCATGTTGAAAAGTCCTTCACATATCAGGACCAGAGTGAAATTTTGTATAACGGGATGAGTAAAGCCTATTTGTGCATCTTACATTGATGATAAAATCTTACCTCAAACGCTGAAGTCATTTACACCAGTAATCCTTTCCTTTCCATAACAAAGTCCTTTACGATCCACTAGATTGGAAGCTTTTACAGAAATATATAAGGCTCTGGGAAGGTAATGCATGTTACAGATGCCTCTAAAGTAAATAATAGGAATGGATGTGTGTTCCCAGATTACCTGCTTTGAATCTCTCCTCTCCTGTGTTTTTTAATTGGGTCGTGATCAGTAATGCTTTCTCCTTCAGCACCTGTCTATTTATCTGTTCTTTTGCAGGGAAATCTGGGCTCGGTTTTTAGCTTTTGAAAGTAACATTGGTGATCTAGCTAGTATACTGAAAGTTGAAAAACGGAGGTTTACGGCATTCAAGGAAGAATATGAGGGTAAAGAAACAGCTCTGCTGGTAGACAGGTATAAGTTCATGGATTTGTACCCTTGCTCTGCTAGTGAACTGAAGGCCCTTGGTTATAAGGTAAGTGGATAAGAACACTTAATTTTACTGTTACTCTTTTCAGTCCTAGCAAACTTAAGCAATTCCTTGGTTAGGATTTGCCTTGCACTTTTTTCCCTTGATAGAAAAGCAGGTAGAACAGGCCTGGTATGCCTCCTCCTTGTTGTCTTGTTGGGCAGCAAAGTGCCAGGCACTGCAGGCTGAGGGCAGAAAGGAGCAAGGAATGCGACTGACAGATGCAACTTCATGAATTCATATTTACCTCTCATCTTCCCATGGAAAGGTCGATGTGCGAATGCCATCACCACTCGGCTACAGGCCTCCACTTCAGACTTAAACCTGAGCTCCTTCAAAAACCAAAATTCTTTGGAAGTTCGTAGAATCAAGACATCTGTATGAAACAGCACTGGCTGCCCTTCCGCTCCAGCTGGCAAAACTCCGCTCACTTCACTGAGAGCCGTATCAACACAAACACACTGCAGTCCCAATGATTGCTGCAAATGGCTGGGGAGAATTATCTATGGACATCAGTGGCTGCCTGCTTTTTTTCAGTTGTTTATTACGGCTAAAGTGCTTCAGTGCTGCTATTCTGAATTTAAAGTCTAGGCCAGACACCTGTATCTGGGGTCTCCCATCTCATGTCTGACCACATGTATTTTAACTACTACTTTAGTCATGTGGAAGGCCATAACACTTTGGAAAGCCATTATAACAGATAAAATGTTGAGTTGTTTGGGCTTTTTAAGCATGATGTAAAATTGGCTGCCAGAGAAGCAGAAACAGCTCTGTTGTTGGAAGAACTGCTGTTTCCCATTTGCATGAATGGGAAGACAGCCTTCAATTCATGTCTCAAAACAGTGCCTCGGCTGCCGTTTATTTCTTACACAGAAAAGTAATCTTTAAAAAGGATAGAACTCATCAAAGTTGGCAAAACAGCTGAATTGTTGGTCTTCACACAGTTGTAAAATAATCTGATAGGCAGAAATGAGAGTCACATTGAGCCACTGGATGCTTTTATCGCAATCGGGACAAAGTTATTTTGAAGTTACAGGTGCGCTCACAAGAGAGCATGTCTTGATAAATGCACGCCAGGTAGCGTGTACCAAAGATGATTCAGCCTCATTTCTGTGGCTTGTAACATGCCAAAGTATAATCCTATTTGAACTGATGCTTTGCATGCCTGCTGACTGCCTTATGCTTGCTTTCTTCTCCAGCTAAAGCAATCTAGGGAATGAAATGAGGGAGAAATGATAGTTGTGAAGGCCTAGTGGTCTGCACCTGTTCATCTAAATCTTTTTAACCTGAAAACAGGAGCCACTCAAAAATGACAAATACAGTCCCATTCGGTAACAAAAGCAAGTGTTTCCACTCCCAGCTGGGACACTGTAGGACTAAAATGTTTGATGAAAACATGCAAGTTTTGCCCAGATGGTCTTCTAAGAGGACATCTGAAATTATAATGGTGACAAAGTGAGAATAAGCGACTGGTCTAGAGAGATGTTCTGTTCTGTAATTTAAGCAAGCAATGTGCTCCTGCCAAGTTCAGTGCTCTCTAACTGGCTCTCACAGGATGTCTCCCGTGCCAAGCTGGCAGCCATAATTCCAGACCCTGTGGTTGCGCCTTCCATCGTGCCTGTTCTCAAAGATGAAGTAGACAGAAAACCTGAATATCCAAAACCGGACACTCAACAAATGATTCCATTTCAGCCAAGACACTTAGCACGTAAGTCAGATCTTCAGTCGGAAGTGGTTATACTGCACCCGGCAGCAAGCTATTAACCTCTGTGTTTAGCAAACCTAATCACAGAGACTTTCCTAGTCTTCAGTCATCTAAACATGTACTTAAATTTTAGGCTGTTATTTAATTGGCTTGCTAAAGGTGTATACATTTTACTTAATACTAAGGTCACATGGAAACAAGTACAAGTAGTTTGGGGTCTGGTAGATGGTAATAAGCTGTTACACACACTGCTCATAGACCTCAGATCACTAACTAAACAATATGTAATTAGTAGAGGCAAAAGTGACAGGGTAGTAATTATTTGCATTAAATAATAATGCTGCAAAAGCAGTTGAATTCCAGCTGTCTTGCACTGGCGTCATACAGTGTTTCTTTCCACAGCTCCAGGTTTACATCCCGTCCCAGGTGGTGTATTTCCTGTTCCACCAGCAGCTGTAGTTCTCATGAAGCTCCTGCCACCTCCTGTTTGTTTTCAGGTTTGTTTTAATGAATTCTGAACTCTTCAAAAAGTTGCAGAAGTGATTCTGTTTTGACAGAACCACAGTATGTATCACTCTAAACTTTTTTTTTTTTTGGTAACACATCAGGGTCCCTTTGTTCAAGTGGATGAGCTCATGGAGATATTCAGAAGATGCAAACTGCCAGACAGTAAGTTATTTGTTTGCTCCGGAGTCTGTGATAGTGCTGCATATGACTTCGTTTTACATATGGATATTGCTGTCTAAAAGCCAGACCTCATTTACAGATGTGTAATTATTAAATTTAAGAGTATACTGTTGAATTGTCTACATTTGTAGGTGGGAATCTACACAGAGATGTTTGTATGTTTAACTGTGGGGAGATCAACAAAAAGTCAAAATGCTGAAAATCGCCAGCTGCTACTTTAATAATGTTTTGGTGGTAACCATTAAAAAAAAAAAAAAAATAAGATTTGCAGAATATCCTTTAAAAGCAGCAAGGCATTATTTCTAGCAGCACTGTAACCGTAACATTAAATTACAAATTTGCAGTATGGTGAGGTCATTGGTAGGCGTAACTCTGCACGTTGTTGCAGTGCTTGAGAACAATTCAAAAGCAGTGTTTTCTGAGCTCCTGCACAGAAGGTAGAGTTCTGAAATATAAGCACAGGGCAGATCCACAGTCCAGGCTTTACGTAAACTATGGCGGATGATAATATGCTATTTTTCAATCTCCTCAATTAGCTTAAGGACCAAATGAGCAGAGAGAAAGCAAGCTAAGATTTAATTTCTTTTAGAGTGAAAATAAAACATCTATTTAAATTATAAATGGTATTTTTGAAGCATTCTCTGTTGATAAGCAGAAACCGACTTGCAGTGCATACTTTCTGATGAATCATGAACTGGTGCTATGCTGTTTCCCCACCAGGCTTTTCTTATTAAGCTTGCAAATGACCTCAATACTTGTGTAAAGGAAGGGAGGTCTTGAGCTGAAGCAGCAGCATTTATTTTAGAAATAGTGAGTGCCATAGCTCCAAGTTTTAGACAGCCGAGGTTTAATTCTTAACATTTACGGGAGAATAGGGTAGGAAAATGTCTCACGTTCCAGAAGTCTCCACAATGTATTGATCTTAGTGTCCCCATTTACATGCTTATTTCTAATCAGGGAATTTAGTTTCACAAATTAAATTAAGCTTTCTCTTTCTAAAGCTGTTGACGAAGCTGTACGAATAATTACTGGAGGCCTACCTGAAATAGCTGTGGAAGGCAATGGACCTGTGGAAAATAATGCTATGCTCAACAAGGCTGTTAAGAGACCACATGAAGATTCTGATGACGATGAGGAGAAAGGATCTGTAGTTCCCCCTGTACATGACATTTACAGAGCACGACAGCAAAAGAGAATCCGGTGAAACAAGTTTGGAGTTCTACTGTGATACACAAAGACTTACATTGAGTCCATCAGTTTCTTAAAAGTCAAGCATTTAAAAGGGACAGCTGCAAACAAAAAAGAAATCTTGAAAATGGTTTTGTTACTGTGGTGCCTCTTCTCCCATATGGTTCTTTATCCGAAAACAGCCAGAACAACCTTAGAATGTGCTCTAAGTTTTCAAAACCAAAAGTGCAAAATGTCAAAACTGCATTTTGTTCTTAAAGGGTATTCACATCCACCACTTGAAATCTTGTGGGTTTTCAACAGTTTTATTTTAAAAACTGGATGGCTTATACTGGTGAAGCATTTTTAATTCACATTTTCTGGAAAACAGTTGTTCTCAGTTTGTTCATGTAGTGTCCTGCCTTATTGTTCGTTTTTATTTATGGCAGAATGTATGGAATCTGTTTTGTAGTTGAAAATGGAAAAAACCATTCCTTTAAAATAAAAGGATATCCATAACATCATGCCTCAGTCTGGTTTTATTCAAACACAACAAGTTACTTCTTAAATATTACTCAGCCACTTCAAAAGCGATGTTAATAAGACCATCACAGGAAATTGATCAGAGCATACAGAGTAGAATTAGCTTTTTTCCCCATTTTTCTAGAGGATATAGTATATTTTTGCTTTTAATTCCATGACTGTTTAAAGAAGACAGCACCATAAGACAAACTGGGTACATACTCTAATGTGGATTGTCCAGGAGTACTAGCTAACAGAGCCTGTTCCTGGATAACTGCATTGGTCTTCCACTTACTTAATAATAATGTACAAAGCTAAACGTTCCTACATTAGCTACATAGTTTAACCTGTGATTTTCAAACAAGCTAACAAAAACACTATACGAACTCTCCAAGCAGTTTCTATGCACACTTCAGATTTTAACCTGTCGTGGACTCTTCAGAATTGCACTCTAAGACTGTAAGAACCGCCAGGGTCTACAGGAAATTCCCATGCTCTCACAAGCTGAAAAACATTCC